CAAACCATTTGCCCAAATGATATGAACCGAGAGTTGGCTCAAGAAGTTTGCCATAAGTTGGACATTGAATTCAAAGAAGTGAATTTCTCTAAGAATTACTGGAATCATGTTTTCAGGTCTTATACTAACAATCACTTCCAATACAAGAGTTGTAATCAATTGATTCAATAGTTATCTATTGGAAAGTTATTCAAACGGTTTGACACCAAATCCGGACATAATGTGTAATAAATGGATAAAATTCGGGACTTTTGTTGACTATTGTTTGAATGAATTGAAAATGGATGTCATATCGACCGGTCATTACGCGGGCACTTCTTATGGAGACTTTTGGCAACACTATGACAGCGAGAGAACAGTTCACCTCTTAAGACCTAAAGATAAACGCAAAGATCAAACATTGTTTTTGTCACAAATTAGTCAAACATCTCTCAAGAAAGTTATGTTTCCTTTACAACAGTTATGCAAATCTGAGGTCAAATCCATTGCCAAACAGAATGGCTTAACAAGAGTTGCTGAAAGACCGGAGGTTTGATTTAGTGTTTGAATTGATTTTAATTTTATTTTAATAATTACTTGTTTTGTATAATAAGAGTCAAGGGATCTGTTTTATTGGCAAAAGAAATTTCCAGAAATTTATTGAACAATACATTGAACCAAAACCCGGAAAATTTATAGACATTGACACTGGAGTTGTAGTCGGAAGTCATGAAGGTTTGAATGTTTTGCTTCTCAATTCACATCGCTTATCGATTTAACACATTTTATCGATGGGTTTGTTATGTACTGTATTTAAGATTTTTAATGACCGCATATTTTACGTTTGTATTTATAAAAGGAATCCATTTTTGGACAATTGGACAGAATTGCAGAATCGGAGGAATGAAACATAAATATTTTGTTGCCAAAAAAGATGTCCAAAATCATATCATGTATGTTGTAAGTATTAGTAATTGTGGTTATAATTGGTTTATAATATCTTAAATACTTGAATATTTTGAATGAAGGCCTCGAATACGAATCACTCATCGCTTTATAGCAATCAAATGATTGTAAAGAATATGAATTGGATTTGTTGTGAACCGATGGCTATAACCGCTCGTCAAGTGTTTGAGTGCGAGTTTAGGTTTCAACACAGGGATCAGCCCCAGCCCTGTCGGCTCATTAAACTGGACGACAATCAATTCAATATTCAATTATATTCATCCACTCGTGCCTTAACTGAGGGACAGGTATGACATAAGTTATCACTTTGTGTAACATCTATTAACTTTAAATGTTTTCGTTTGAAGTTTGCCGTCATTTACAAAGACAACGAGTGTTTAGGAAGTGCTCAGATTGACCGCTACTGGCTTTCCTCACAACTCTAAACATATTATTTGACATTTTATTAAATTTTAATAAAGTTTATAAACGATTGCAAACTTTTATTGCATTTACTTATTATTGGGCGACAAATAAAAACAAAAGCCGTAATTAATGGCAAAATTATTACGTGTTTTGCAAAACATTTTTCAAATGTGTTTTGATTTTGAAATGAATTTGATTTGAATGTAAAACTGATTTGAAGACCAAATGAGCGATAATTTGGATGAAAGCGATGTCAGGGATGATACTCATCGCTTTATAGCAATCAAATGATTGTAAAGAATATGAATTGGATTTGTTGTGAACCGATGGCTATAACCGCTCGTCAAGTGTTTGAGTGCGAGTTTAGGTTTCAACACAGGGATCAGCCCCAACCCTGTCGGCTCATTAAACTGGACGACAATCAATTCAATATTCAATTATATTCATCCACTCGTGCCTTAACTGAGGGACAGGTATGACATAAGTTATCACTTTGTGTTATCTCTCATCTATTAATACAGTATTAACTTTAAATGTTTTCGTTGAAAGTTTGCCGTCATTTACAAAGACAATGAGTGTTTAGGAAGTGCTCAGATTGACCGCTACTGGCTTTCCTCATAACTCTAAACATATTATTTCGCATTTTATTGAATTTTAATAAAGTTTATAAACGATTGCAAACTTTTATTGCATTTACTTATTATTGGGCGACAAATAAAAACAAAAGCCGTAATTAATGGCAGTTAATAATGCACAAAACGTTTTGTAAAAAGTTTACACAAAACTAAAACTTTACTTAAACTAAACTTACATTTTGACTAAACTTCTGGTTTACTCGCTATTAAACCTACTTTCGCTACAGTCCCTACTGGAGGAAGAGGACGGGAGTGCGGGAACGGGCGGTGCGGCTGTGGTTAAGGTGGAGGCGAGTGTTGGGCCGATGATAATGACTCTGAACGACACAAAGGCGGGGATGACTGGTCTGGACAGCCATCGCATCAACAAAATCATCTTCGAGTACAGCAATGGTTCGCATTTCCATTCATTTCAGACCCGAAGACAAGACCGAATCGACCAACAGATCCAACACATGAAGAGGCGATTGAATGAAATGACTGAATGGCAACGAAACCAATGTTTGAAAGAAGCGGACAATTGTGTCAATAGTATAGAAATGAAGCGAAATATGACTTCAATTATAGTTCACATCGATTTAGACATGTTTTTCGCCGCCGTTGAGACCAAACTCAAGCCCGAACTTAATGTTTGAAAGAAGCGGACAATTGTGTCAATAGTATAGAAATGAAGCGAAATATGACTTCAATTATAGTTCACATCGATTTAGACATGTTTTTCGCCGCCGTTGAGACCAAACTCAAGCCCGAACTTAAAGGCAAACCAATGGCTGTCGGCAGTGACCAGATGTTGGCCACTAGTAATTATGAGGCGCGAAAATTTGGGATCAGGTCTTAAACTAATTGTTTGATTGATTTATATTGGAAATTAACGTAATTTATATGGATTCAGACCGGGAATGCCGGGCGCTTTGGCCAGACGTTTGTGTCCGCAACTGATTCTAGTGAAACATAGTTTTGGCAATTATCGCAGAGAAAGTGGACACGTGATGGCAATTATCAAAGAATTTGATCCCAACCTGTATTCAATGAGTTTAGACGAGTGTTTCATTGATTTAACTGATTATGTGATAGATATGTATTGCCAGCGAAACGAAAACTTTGACAAACAATCTCTCAAAAGCTGTAAAGAATTGCCCATTTGTTTGTGGGATTTGGCGGCAGAAGTGGTCTCTAATATCAGGCAAAGAATATTAGATGAAACACAATTGAGTGCCAGCGCTGGCATCGCATGCAATACATTGATTGCTAAAGTGTGCTCTGATGTCAACAAACCTGACGGTCAGCACATGATTCGCGGCAATAAGAAGGAGATCGAGAAGTTCTTAGAGGACACTCCGATCCGAAAGGTGAATGGCATCGGACCCGTTAGGGNCGTTAGGGCACAGTTCCTGTCGGCTGTTGGTATCAACACATGTAAAGATCTGTATTACAATCGCGACAAAATTCGGTTCGCTTTCAGTCAATTCAATGCCGAGTATTATCTGAGGGTTGGCTTAGGAATTGGTCGACATGTCATCGAGAGAGACGAAGAGCCGAGAAAAAGCGTTAGTTCCGAACGCACTGTCGCCGAAGTCAGTACTTTTGAAGCCATTTGTGATTATTTCAGTGAATTGAGTGAAGAGTTGGCCGAAGATCTGAACTCAAAGAACCAAAGCTGCAAAACGATTACAATTAAACTGAAGAAAATCACTTTTATAGTGACTCTCAAATCTCATTCACTTCCGTACTATACGTTTGATTCGGAGACCATTTTAAATGTGGCCAAACATTTATTGGATACCGAACTGAAGAGCACTCCAATCGAGTCACGCAAATATCGATTAATTGGTCTCAAAGTTTCCAATTTAAAGTCTAATGAAACCAATCGAAAGACCTCTTCGTCGCAAATGACTTTGTCTCAAATATACAGAGCGTTGAAAAGCAATACAAATACTGAGATTAACACTAATTCTGACAAACAATCGGCTGAGAAACCGGAAGAAGCAAAACACGATGAAAGCGAATCCAACACTTCAGTCAATGATAACAATGATAGAAATGAAAGCAATTTTCACATCAACCAAATGTATGATTCCTCTCAATACGAGTGTTCGGTTTGTTTTGAAACATTTCAACACAAGAATGTGTTCGAAGACCACGAAAATGCATGCATTGAAGCGATGCTCGAAATTTCCACATCAGAACCCGATATAAGCATCGATTCCGAGCCAAACACCAGTTCTCACACCGATTCTAGTCCTCAAACCAATGATGAATCGAAAGATATAAACAATTTGTGTCCCATTTGTGGCACACAATTGGTTCTTAAAGACAACGACGAATTAAACGCTCACATCGATGTGTGCCTTAACAAAGACAAGTGCCTCGAGTTAACTCAAGTCCCATTACAGTCCACGACTCATAACTCGACTCCTAAACAAAAGCCGTCAAAACGATTATATTCTGACAGCAAAATGAATGGCAAACTTAGCCAGAAATGTGATCCAAAGAAAACACGAAAACAGTCGTTAAAGTCACAAATGACTATCGATTCCTTCTTTAATCGGTCCAAATAAATGCTTTTCACACTTTTGGCTATTTTTTAAGGCTTTATATAAATATCATGTCATTGTTCTAATCATTGAGTCAAACCATAACTGTATTCTAAGTCAATGTAATTGTTTATCATTTTGTTTGATGTTTTCTGAGAAAATTTAATTTTTCAATTAATAAAAATGCGTTAAAAATATGATTTGTTGCGTTGATTGTCGTTTGGGTTAGTGTTTGTGTTGCAAATAGTGAGCGCACGTAAAGCCTCGACAGCACAACAGCACAACTTGTGTAACGTATGTATGAATTGTGTGAATCG